TTTTTGGGACGGTTTCACTTTTGTCACAAAATCTTGTAACTTTCAGAGAGCTCCTGAGAGACATTGGTTGAGTTTGCTTGATGGGATTTATTTATTCAGTTCTTTTGTTAATCACCTGAAGTTAGAGAGATTGGTTTGCCTGATGAGATTGATTTATGTGTGAAATCTGGGAAAGGTGGCAAATTTGGAGATGATGAAGAATCTGATTGTGCTGAAGATATAGAAAAATGGGGTTTTTCTAATTTGGATTGGGAATTTAGCTGCTCCAGATCTGTCTACCATTTGAAAATTGGGTATTGAATATTCAAAGGACCTTTTTTTTAGCCTGCAGATGTTGGAAAGTGACACTCTTTCTTTTGCAAGTTTGAATTGTGAGGAAAATTGAGTTAGTAAGTTCAGGGGAGGTTCAATAGTGATAAGGTTTTTGAGGAGAATATGACATTTTAGGTGTAGGAATTCACTGGGAAATTAACAGAACACAAATGCAGTTGTTTCCTTTTCTCATTTTTTAATTTTTATCCAATGCAGCAAAGAAATTTCCACAAATATTCATGTATGCATTTGATGATTTACATTTAGCTGACTAATTATGTTTTTTTTTATTGGTTATATTGTTTCTTTTATTCACACTTCGATGTTTTTGAGAAGTCGATTTGGTTGAGTGCAGTCAAATTATTTATAGTCACTTCACATCTGCTGCTTCAACTTCTGTATAATTTAAGATATTACAATCTCTTGCATTTGAATCCTAAGTAGTTGCTTGTATTTTGACAGAATATGGGGACTTTCATACTTTAAACATTACGGTGGATTCGCCTCCTTTCTCTGAAGATTTAGGGCCAAGAGACTTGGAAAATCTTCCCTCTGCATTGGACTAAGATGTCGATGTCAGGTATGCTTCCTGGTTAGCTAGATGAATTTGTTATCTCTGGTTGAGAATAATTTTACACAATGCACTCTGTCATATGAAGGGAATATGGGAACGTGATGCTTGTTTTATTAGAAAAAACAAATGCAAATTTGAGATAAACTTTGCATATTGTGGTACTGATGGTTATGCGTGTTAATCTGTTTACTGAAGGCCTTGAAGGGTTTGGAGCTCTTGAGGAAGTCCGAGAGAGAAGATCCGATTTTGAGATTTCTGAAGAGGAGAGAAGACGCTCAAGAATTTGTAATCTCAAGAAGAAGGCGATAAATGCTTCCAGTAAGTTTACCCATTCTCTTAAAAAAAGAGGAAAAAGGAAAATCGATTACCGGGTTCCATCAGTTTCCATACAAGATGTACGGGATGCGAAAGAGGAGAGTGTTGTGCAAGAGTTTCGTCAAAGACTCCTTGACATGGACTTGTTGCCAGCAAGGCACGATGACTACCATACTTTGTTGAGGTCAGTCAAATCCATCCAATATATCTGTTGGTAATAACAAAGTGGCCAAATTTCAGTTTCCAATTGAGATATAGTGGATTATATGGTATATTTGTTCGACTCTCATGTAGATTTTTGAAAGCTAGAGACCTTAACATTGAAAAAACACTCCGGTTGTGGGAAGAAATGCTTAAATGGAGAAAAGAATTTGGAACAGACACCATTTTGGAGGTAATGAGGTTATCTTTTGTCACTGATGATATAGCTATGGATGTATTATCTTTTAGACAGGTAATTTTTTGGTGTGCTAGGAAATAGAAATAAGATCTTCGTCTAATTGGAATTTGGAAGCACAAATTTAATTAATCTAAGACCTTTGAAACTGAGTGTCATATCTGGAGAATGTCATCTCTGGTGATAAGGGTTTTTTTTTTTTTTTTTTTTTTTTTTTGAGAAGAAACGACTCTGGTGATAAGTTATTATTATCTGAATATTAATAGGGCTCTAACGGTTGGAATGTTGTAGCGTGTTTGAAATGCAAACTGATAACAAAAAAAATTTGGTTTTTTATTTAACTCTAACTCATTGTTAAATTAATAAATTTGAAGGATTTTGAATTTGAAGAGCTTGATGAAGTAGTGCAATATTACCCTCAAGGATACCATGGGGTTGATAAAGATGGCAGACCTGTTTACATTGAGAGACTGGGAAAAGCTCATCCAAGTAGGCTAATGCAAATCACCAGAATAGAGCGATACTTAAAGTACCATGTCCAAGAGTTTGAGAGAGCTCTGCAGGAGAAATTCCCTGCTTGTTCAATTGCAGCAAAGAGACAGATATGTTCAACAACTACTATACTGGATGTACAAGGCTTGGTATGCTTATGTCTTTCCTTCACATTTGTACTTCTGTTACTGCCGTTGCTAAATTCCAGAATTCTAACTAGAAAAATGATCGTATGTGAAATACAGGGCATGAAAAATTTCACTAGGACTGCTGCAAATCTTTTGTCTGCCATGACAAAGATAGACACCAATTACTACCCTGAGGTATTGGAATCACCTGACAATATTTTGATTTCATTTTATTTGGGTTTAAAGAATAATATTTTTTTTTATAAAGTGCCATATGGGTCTAACAGTTTAGCAATATACAGACTCTACAACGAATGTACATTGTCAATGCTGGTCCTGGCTTTAAGAAGATGCTTTGGCCTGCTGCACAGAAGTTCTTGATGTAAAGACTATTGCAAAGATACAGGTAAAGGATACTGCTCTAGGCCACGTGGCATCTAAATTTCCTTATCCTGCAGCCTTGATCGCTGATAATTATCTTAAATCCAGGTTTTGGATCCCAAATCCTTGTCTAAACTACTGGAAGTCATTGATTCAAGGTATGTATACCATAATACTTTGCAATATTTTCATTGACGCTTGACAGTACTCGTCAGCTCACTGTACATATCTCTCTTTTCAGTCAGTTGCCAGACTTCCTGGGCGGATCATGTACATGTTCAGCTGAAGGGGGTTGCCTTAGGTCTAATAAAGGTCCATGGAATGACATCGAGATAATGAAGGTTATCATCTTTTTTTATTTCCCTAATGAGTAGTCTAGTGGTTTCAGGCTACAATCTCTTTATTGAATTAAGTACTGAATATTAACCCAGCGTCTCTAATTTGTAGCTTCTGCATGCTGCCGAAGCAACATTTGTGAGGCAAATTTCTAGTGTGTCTGGTGAACAGGAGAAATTTGATTCATATATTCAAATACACCCACTGAAGGTTAGTTCAGAAATATTATTTGTAGTACTTGATGTATTGCTGGTTCAGAGAAGTTGGCCCATACTTATTCTTTTATTCTTTGTGTGTTTTATCAGGGTAGAACAAGCAATACATCAGTTGTAGAATCAGGGTCAGATATTGATGATCCTTGTTCTTCACTTGGACGAAGGAGTTCTGCATTTCCTCCTTTGGACGCAGTTGATGAAGAAGTGAGTTTCAAGATTAATTTTCTTTGTGATTTGTTTGGTTCAAAAGATATACTGCATCTGTTGGTGTGCGTATTGATTAATCTGTCTTTCACACGTCAAGGCATTAGATCCAAATGCATTCTACAGCAGAGATGATCTTCCCTGGGTTGAGAAAGCCAGAACAAGTGATCAAGGAGTTCAATGTCATCAGGATCAGAATGTTTCTTGTGAAGCAACATTAAATTCAGAAGGTGAACACATTATAATCTTATTTCCAGTTATTTTTCTTTTCTAAAATCTTTTGTCTACTTCTATAAATGTGAAAAATGCATTTAGCTGTTGTTCCCTTTTCAATCTTACCTTTCAGCTTATATCCCAAGTTCATGTGTCTTTTCAGGTAGTTCAGTTAGGTTTGACGCAGCTGAGGATAAAATTGAGAAGACGGACTTCACTCGTGTGGCAAGAAAGCTGATATCTTTCGTGATCAGACTAATACCATTTTCTCATATTCTACAATTTGAATTTTGGAGAAGGCAGAACACCATTTACCCATCGAAGTTGGTGGAAAGCAACACGAATGGTCATTTACCAGCCCCTGAAGTTGTGAGTCAAGAAGACTATGTCCGCCCGTGTTTACAGCGTCTTCAGCAACTAGAAAAAGTATGTGAGGAGCTTAAAAACAAGCCTGCTGCAATTCCTTTAGAAAAGGAGCGAATGCTGATGGACTCGATGGACAGGATTAAGTCTGTTGAATATGATCTCGAGCAAACAAAAGGAGTATGTTATGTTTAAATGCTTTTACCATTTGATTATTGATCTTTTAATTGCACAGATAACAATGTTTTCATTTCAATGTTGTCGTTACAGGTGCTGCACGCTGCAGTTGTAAAGCAACTAGAGATTGCTAGGTTGTTGGAAAATCTACAGGAATCTAAATTTCATGTAAGTCTATCTGCAACAACTTCAACTTCCGTGGTTAAATTTCTGTCTAAATCAAGCGACTTCCATTTTCGGGTTACAAATTAAGCCTTTACTAGTATTAGGAAAGTCTTTTTTGGGGAATTTTATCATCGACAAATGATCAACAAGGTAGAAAAGCTTATTGTTATAGCTAGCTACAATCAATGAGCTAATGTTCATTTCGTAGCGTTTCGTTTTGTTGAGCCAAATCTGACAATGTGAGGCTCTTTTTAACGCAGAGAAAGAGACCGTTTTGTTGAGTAGGTAACGACTCATGGCGGGAAAGGCTACACGTTTGGTTAAAGAAGTATGATGCAGAAAAGGCCCCTTTTCATCTTTTTTTTAAATTGCCTCTCAATCAAAGCTATATGAACTGTGTAACCTTCTGCTGCTTTGAGACATAAAAGTGCAGAGATGAACAGAAAAAAAGGAATTAATGAAATCTTGTACAATTTTGTACAATTCGGCAGTGATTGTTTTTCTCTTTTGGAGAAATTTGAAGGTCTCTACCCTTTAGACCAGATCCATTGCAATGCATATAATGAAACACTGAAATCAGTAGAATTTCCTCCATGTTAATTGTATTCACATGCAATGGCTGGGCTTGATGAACAGTCTAGACAGGATCACCAGGTGTTTTTTCTATTAGTGCTCCAAAATTATCGTATGCACTCTATAAAAACACGAGCGAAAAATTTGCATACGGAGCACTGGATGATCTTTTTGGATTGGTAGTAACAGCTCGCTTTTTTTGGTGAAAAGTCTCGATTTTAACAGTAAGAATAGTTCAGCGTTCGATTAAAATTAAGATTAGTTCATATTAGTGGGTTAATATTAAGATCAATTCAGCGTTCCATTAAGATTAAGGTTAGTTCATATTAGTGGGTTAATATTAAGATTCGCTCAGAGTTCGATTCCTTTTAATGTACCAAAGAAAGAAAAAAAAACAAGATGTTTGGATGTTTGAAAAAGGAAACGATTGCAAGACATTTAGGTCATGTTTGGTGACTAATTGAATTGGATTAGATTACTTAGGATTGGAATCCTTTATACTTAGTAACGCAGTAACACTATCCCTTTTCAGCTAGGGTTTCCTACTTTCTCTTGGAAATAAAGTCGGTCAGTTGGAAATAGCTAGACTATATTTCCTAATTGCAGGATTTGGGTTATAAACTTCCTCTCTACATATATCATTATAGCCGGCCTCATTAGAGCATAACATCATTCAACATCATTCCAAGAAACATTCTACAGAAACCCTAATACCATAGACGATGAAGAACGTTGAGATTCGACGCGTTTGGCAACACAATTTGGAAACCGAGTTTTCTCTAATTCAGTCCATGATTCGTTACTAACCTTTCTCTCCATAGACACCGAATTCCCGGGCACGGTTTTCCAATATTCCGATTCCTACACCCCTTAACCCCGGCGTCCAAATATGAGCTCATGAAGGCCAACGTCGACAACACCAACATAATCCAGTTAGGGCTAACGTACGCTCTCGGACAACAACGGAAACATACCCAGTTTTGGCACAAATAGCTGCTACATATGGGAGTTCAACTTCAGGGACTTCGATGTCGAACGTGACCTTCAGAATACAAGTTCGATTCGGTTGCTTGAAAGCCAAGGAATCGATTTCATGGAGAACAAGGAAAAGGGTATTCGTTCTTCCGACTTCGCCTTGCTGTGGCGTAAATTTTTGCTGTTCTCCAAGAAATCCCGGTTGACATGGGTGACTTTCCATAGCGCTTACGATTTCGGGTACCTGATCAAGATGCTGAATCACAATCGTTTGCCGCAAGACATAAACACTTTCACGGACATGATGGATATATACTTTGGGAAAAATGTGTATGACATCAAAAGCATGATTAGGGTTTCTCGAGAGATTTATGGAGGATTAGAGAGAGTGGCTAACAAGCTTGGGGTTGATCGTGTGGCTGGGAAGAGTCATCAGGCTGCTTATGATAGTTTGCTGACTTGGCAAACGTTTCGGAAGCTTACAGATGTGTATCACAGAAGCATGCTAGGGGAAGATGGCTGCAGTTTAGATTTGAGAGATTTGGATTGGTCTCAAAGGGTTTTGTATGGTTTGGAAGTTGAGGCTCATTGATTTATTAATTGCAGTACACAATTGTTGATTAGTTATTCATTTATTTCATTCTCTTTGTAATTTTCTTTGATACCTATTAAGTTGGATAATACTTGAGAACTCACCTTATTTCGAACTTTCATTTATGCATTTTTCTTTTTCTCGAAAGTGCAAGATCATGGACGACATCTAAATGCATGGTGAGAGAATAGAGTTATGGTTATCATCACAAGATTATTAATCGCATCCTCCTCATCACATAAAACATTTGCATAATCTAAGTAAAAGCAAAGTATGATATAAAAGCATCACATAAAATCGATTTTGAACAAATATACGTAATTAAGTTTAAAAGCAAAAATTCACTCACACACTGTATAGTCATAACCGCCCTACTCAGCACGCTCTTCGAAATCCCTAGATCTTTAGTTGGTAAAATAATTGAAAACTACGAAGATTATTGAAAAAACGAGACTCAAACTATCAAATTCGGTGTCTAACAACCTACATCCACCGTTCCACGCGCCACCACATGTCGCCATACGGCTCCATGCGCCATCACGCATTGAAATAACCTGGTTTTTTTTACCATAAGTCATTGATCAGAGGCCGAAATAGAAATAATTATTAACCTGAGACGATGTCGTGATTAAGTTAAATTAGTTTTATAGAAGTTTCAATCTCAAAAATTGTAGAGCTCATTTGGATATGCTTTTAAAATGACTGAAAGCGTTTTTGGTGAAAATCTTTTTGGAAACAATCCTTAGTAAAAATGCTAATAAATCTTGGAAAAGCACTTAAAGTGCTTTCTGCAAGAAGCACATAACTGATATTTCTTGTAGAAAGTGTTGGGTTTTTGGCTCAAAATTAGGATGATGCAATAAATTAGGTTTGTGTTACCTGTTTGGTTTTGGTGTCCTATTTGGGTTTGGTTTTGACTTCTTAGTTAGTTTCCTTAGTGGAGAGATTTCATTAATTACCTATTTGATTAGGATTTGGATTTATTTCCTATTAGGATTCCTATTGTAACCTAAGTCCTATGCACTATAAATAGGACCTTAGGGTTAGTGTATTTTGTGTGGCTCATTCGTGTGACAATTTGGTGAGAGTCAATTTGTGAGTTTGTGAGTTAGAGAGCAATTTGGGAGAACCTTCTCCATTAGTTTTGGGTTCTCTACTCGTTTGGTTTAGGGTTTGTAATTTGTGGGATTTGAGTTGTGAGAGTTTAAACACTCTTTTGTAATCTCCGTTTGTTTAGTAAAATTCATTGCGCTTCGCCCGTGGAGTAGGCTTTACGCCGAACCACGTAAATCTCATGTTAGTTTGAGATTGTTTGTTTTAGTTTTCACCTACGACGTTGATATTGGTACTTTGTTAGAATTTGCTTCCGTTTGCGCATAAAAGTACAACAGAAAGCACTTAAAGTGACTTTGGAACCAAAAAACATTTTTTCTAAAAACGCTTTCAATTATTTTAAAAGTATATCCAAACGCGCCTGTAGAAGGTGACATTTATGAATTGTATACCCGAACATAATAATTAGGGTAAATATCAGTTTACTACCCTTATATTTCGTGGTTTTCAACATTTAGTACATCAAGTTTTTTTCGTCTTAGAGTCATACCTAAAGTGATAATTTTGGGACCGTCTCATACATCCGTTGGTCAAACTCTGCTGTTAACTGATGACGTGGTGCCTATGTGAACAATGATTGGATGTCACGTGTCATTAAGGGTCCACGTGGAATTTTGTTTTTGGAAGAAGGGGTTCAAACAAAATTCAAAAATTCAAAAAAAAATCTTCTACCTCCCCCAACCCCTCTCCCTTCTCTCCTATATTCCTTTGGCCTCCTCCTTCTCTATTAAAAAACCCCATTAATTATACCAATTAGCTATATGATATCATCACATTCTTCAGACCCAACAACTCTTCCTCCAAGCAACCAAGAACCGCATCCAATAGAACCCAGCAATGGAGTCACCTCAAACCAGGAAATCGGGGCTCTACCTTCCCTCCGGGATGTCCGAGACAATGCTCCGCCTCGATTCCGTTTTGGGTTCTTTTCGTGCGGTTTCGAGTCTCTCAGCGTCGCCGAGTTCTTGTCGGGCGATTTCGAACCTATCCTCACCGTCGAAGCCCTCGACTTGTTGTGACAGTCACTCTAAAACCCTATTTCTCTCTCTTTCTATAAAACCCTATTCTTGTACTTACTTCCCAGAAAACCAAAATTCCATCTTTTTCAATGACTGCACTTGCAAAACCCTAAATCCCCAAATCCAATTGTGAAACCAAATTGAATCCCTTTTCGTTTTAGAAGTGGCAATTCTCTTTGGATTCGACTGATTTGCAGAGGAGAGAAGGAAGGGGGGGTCTATCGATTTACAGGTAAACCACGAACGAAGCAAACCCTAGAATTGATAACAATTTCAGAAGACGAAGAAGGAAGGAGAAGAATACCTCTGTTGTGCGAAAAGGCGAAACTTGGAGGAGGATTCAACGGCGGAGCTCTGAAAAAAAAAAAAAAAAAAAAAAAAAAAAAACTTGGAGGAGAGGAGGGTTTGGTGGGTTGGTGTAAAGGAGAGAATGGAGGGATAAGGGAGGAATGAGGAGAGAAGGGAAGGTGGTGCAATCTAGCAACGGTGAAGCAGAGAAAGACCTTGCCTTTCTTCTTCTTCTTCTTCTGACGTCCACGGGGCTTTTTTTTTTTTTGAATTTAAAAAAAAAAATTTGAACCCCTTCTCCCAAATAAAAAAAAATCATCTATGTGGATCCCTTAATGACACGTGGTACTCAGTCATTGTCCACATAGGCATCATGTCATCAGTTAACTGCAGACTTAACAGTTTGACTAACGGATATATAAGACTGTCCCAAAATTAAAACTTTAAGTATGACTCTAAGACGAAAAAAACTTGATGTACTAAATGTTGAAAATCACATAACATAAAGGTAATAAACTAATATTTATCTTAATAATTATATCAAATGTAGCGACAAGGAACTGACCGTGGTGGACCATATTATTCTATTGGCACAATAAGTACATTATTTTCTTTGTGGTGACAGCAGGATTTTGGTTGGAAAAGGTCGAGTTAACGCGCATTTCCATTAAGATAAAAGCATTGGAGATAGACAACACTGCCCATTACCATTAAAATCGAATGGAAATTGGCAATAAGTCAGAGTAACGTGTCCGTCTTTGCACCAAATTCAAATCTTTTTTTTTTCAAAAATTAAAATAGTTTAGTATATTGTCTTGTTTAAAAATTTAAAAAACAAAAATAAACATTGGCCGAAAACAATAAAACATAAAAAATGCTTAGGATTGGCTACAAGACATGCACTCTATGCTTTTAATCTTTTATAACTAGTGTTGTTTTAAACTCAATTGACGAAATGAGGTAATATGAAAAACGAAAGATAAATACAAGGGATAAAATGATACGTTGATTGTGCAAAAGAGTAATGTTAGAGAGATAAAATTTACAAACTAAATGATGTGTCAGATAAAAATGAGCACATTTATCAACGTTTAAGTAAAAAATCTACCGTCAGTGGCTAATCTACACTTAATCTAACAAAATATACCGTTTAAAAAAAAAGAAAAATAAAAAAAATAAAAAATCAATCGTCAACTTTTATGTTCTTTATTTTAAAATTTTATTTATAAATTTAATCTCTTGACATTATGTAAAATAAAGAAAGTGATAACAAAAATAGGCCAAGAGAGAAGGGGTTGAGGGGTGCTGACCAAATAGTGAAGAAAACCAGTTACCCCGGAAAAGGATCTCTTTGGATCCTCTTTGTGGAGATCCGGATGATCCATCAATCACAGTCGTTTATTATATATCGTGTGGTCAAAATTTTTTTAAATTTAAAATTTAAATTGAATGTTAATAAATGAACGATCGTGATTGATGGATACAAGGAGGATCCGGAGAGGATCTTTTCCAGTTATCGCATTACCCGCTGTACTCCATTAGTCCACGTTTTCAAGCAGCTGTAGCTTTATCTAAATTCTAAGGTAAATAAATAAATAACAAGGGAGCTTTATAGACAATAAAGAGAGATCTTTGATCCCTGACTTGGGTTCCCATTTGTGCTCTCCGAAAACCCAGAAAGTATGGTGTTTCATCAGAGCTTCTGCTTCTGCTTTTCCATTGTTTTCCTCTTCCTTTTTCTGGGTCTGCCTGCTTCTTCTTCCTCTCCAACTTTCATTTCAGGTGCTGCCCAATTTAACATCTGAAATTCTATATATGTATTTATATGTTGTAATTTTGCTGGGTTTTGATTCAAATAAGCTTAGATTTAGCAAAGCTCTGAACTTTTTGATTTCTGTGTGTGGCTGCAGATGGTGTCTTTGAATCTCAGGCTTCTGTCGGCCGGCACTTGCTGCAGGCCAAGAAAGGTTATTTCCTTCGCACCCTTTTCTGAAAAATATGTTCTTTCGTTGTTGATATCATAAATTTTTTACTCTAGAGATTGAAATGCAGTGCTAAAAGGTGGAGAGGTGATTGTTTCTATTTTTGGAAAATGCCCATTTGATTGATTTTTCTTGCTGCAATTTTACTGAGTTGGAGGATGAAAGCGTATCGAGTGTGTGTGTTGTTTGTGAGCTATGATCTGTTAATGGAAGGTGATGGATTGGGCTTAATTAGGATAACCCCACTAGTGATCAAGGACTTATCTTTTCTATAATTTTGAGTTTTGGGTTTGTTAAGTCCACATCAAACTTGTTTTGAGAAATTAATTGACGAAGTGAAATCGAAATTTAGTATTCAGTAGGTGGTTGATGGTTCATCATATATCTGCTTACATAGGATTTGATATTCTGATATTTAGTTTACTTTTTAACTCGCGCGTACGGGAAAAAGAAAATAAAGGAGCTTTAGATCGGGCTTCAATTTGAAGCCAAGAAATCGATGCATAAACATTCTGCAACTTGATTGTGCTGCGTGTATTGTCTTCTCCTTGAAGCCTTTTGTACCATTGGATTGCCCAATATTCTACATGATAGTTGGAAAGTAGTGTTGCTATTTGGTGCCCCTCTCTAGTTTTTCCATTGATTTGGGAATTATAGGTAGAAGGAGCTTATGTTTTGTTCCTTTGAGAGACCTCGAAGGATAGAAGCATGTTTAGGATGGATCATAAAAAAGAGAAGTTGGGTTTTGGTATATGAACTTGGAAGCTTATGTTGTCACACCATGTCTCTTTTCGGTTCTGCATCACATAGAAACTTAACGCTTGTTTGGACCTATTTTCTTTCGGTAGATCTATATAGGAAGTAAATAACTTAGTCTCTTGAAATTTTGGCTTCTGCTATCTGCAGGTTGTCCAGTGAACTTTGAGTTTTTGAACTACACTACTATCACAACCCAATGCAAAGGACCCCGATACCCTGCTAAACAGTGTTGTGATGCATTCAAGGAATTGGCTTGCCCTTATGCAGATGTGCTTAATGACTTGACAAACGAATGCGCTTCAATTATGTTCAGCTACATTAACCTCTACGGAAAGTACCCACCTGGACTTTTTGCCAATGAGTGCCACGAAGGAAAGGAAGGTCTGGAATGCCCTGCCTTACCACCATCTACGGAGGTGGCCAAGGATGTAAATGGGGCTCATACCACAAGCTATCCATCTCCGTTGCTAATGCTAACCGCCGGCATCCTAGCGTTGTTGTTCCGGTTACTATGAATTTCCTGACCATTTTCCACCAATTAGTATATTCTTATGGCGTGAGAACTTTTACAATTTTTTCATTCATCAGGCTTCCATCCATGTTTCTTCCGCAAGTGCTAGAGCTAGAAGATACTTTCCATTTAATTAAATTAAATATTATCACTCTGTGGGTGGCATTCGTAATTTGTAATATTTGTAAGTCCTTTTGTGCACTACCTTGACAGCTATAATATGCACGTTGAATGATCTGTGTAAAATGAGCTGGATTTGGTAATGTGTGGACCACCCAGATGCAATTATCTTCATATTATCTGTTTGCTCTGGACATTTTTTTGGTTTCTGTGGCTCGAAATATCTGCAATAACCATTAGCATTACATCCCACAACCGTGTCTCTCATTTCGCTCGCTGCTGCCTTACATGGCTGCTCTCGCTCCTCCGTCTCTTCTCAATCATAACAACCTGCCATCCTTCTCTCCGAAAATCGCAGTGAGAATGCCAACCACTCTGGTTTTGCTTCAAATGTGCTGCAACTTCCAAGAAGTGAGACAGGTGCACGCTCAGTTGGTTGTATCCGGCCTCCTTGACCGCCCTCTAAACGCCGGTAGGCTTCTCCAGTCCTACGTGATAATTTCGCAAATTCACCACGCCTTGTCGATTTTCAATAGAATATCTTATCCTGATGTATTTGCCTACAACAACATGATCAGAGGATTAATTTTGGTTAAGTCCCCATATCACTCGTTGTTATTGTATAACAAGCTTTTACTAGATAGATTGAAACCAGACAATTACACTTACACCTTTGTTCTTAAAGCATGCTCCCAACTGAATGCACTCTTTGAAGGCAGACAAGTGCATTGCCGGATAGTTAAGGCCGGGATAGCTATGGATACTCACGTTCACAGCTCACTAATACACATGTACTCGAGTTCAACGGACAGTTTGGATTGCGCAGAACAAGTACTCGCAGGGTTCCCCGAGGAAAACACGCTTGCAAAGAACTCCTTAATTTCGGGGTACCTTAGATGGGGTCAAGTAGAGAAGGCTAGAGCAATGTTTGATAACATGGTGGCAAAAGATGATGCATCTTGGAGCGCAATGATAGGAGGGTACACAAAGAACGGTATGTATGCAGATGCATTAGGGATTTTCCGAAAAATGACGATGATTTTGAAGGTTTCTGCAAACGAATCGACCCTAGTGAGCTCATTGTCTGCCTGTGCTCATTTGGGAGCTCTAGATCAAGGGAAATGGATACATACATATGCCGATAAAATCGGGGCTAAGATTAGTGTGACTCTTGGCACTGCTCTCATAGACATGTATGCCAAGTGTGGCAGCATTGAACACGGTTACGAAATCTTTCGGAAGATGTCACAAAAAGATACAGTTACTTGGGGAGCTATGATTTCTGGTTTTGCCATACATGGGGATGCCGAGAAATGTTTCGAATTGTTTGATGAAATGGTTGCGAACGGAATGTATCCGAACGAAGTCATTTTTGTGGCTATTTTATCTGTCTGTTCCCATGCCGGGCGTGTCGAAATGGGATACGAGTACTTTCACAAAATGGTGCATGACTATGGGATAAGACCATCCATTGAACATTATGGATGCATGGTAGACCTTCTCGGCCGTGCCGGGCGGCTAGAAGAGGCGGAAGAGCTCATCATGTCAATGCCGGAAAACCCCAATTCGGTTATTTGGGGTGCGTTGCTTGGCGCTTGTCGGACGCATGGTGACCTGAGGAGAGGGAACCTTGCATTCAAGCACTTGACTGAACTGGAACCAATGTCTGGTGACAGATACAAACTAGCAGGGATTATGTTTGCCAATACTGGAGAAAAGGAAAGTGCAACTGAAATTCAGAAGCTCATCGGAGAAAACGAATTGGAGACTAGTCGTGGGATGAGCTTCATCGAAATAGATGGCGTCGTCCATGAGTTTGTAGCGGGGACTATTCATCATAGCAGGCACAAAGAAATCTACAACATGTGGGACAAGGTTCATAGATTGTTGGTCATTGATGAAACCGAAATTGGAACTCCATTCTTTACGTTGGAAAATCGCAATAAAGATGAGGATGCCACATCATGACTAGTTGGTTATTAGCGCAAATTAGTAAGAGCATTTACCACTGCACGAAAGACTTGTAAAATATTCGATTCATTCATGATCTTGACATGTAAGATAGCTGTATATATTCACAATTTATTGAAAGATCTGGTTCATGATAGAATTCTTACATATATGTTCTGGGATGATCACAAACTATATCATATGCAATGATAAATGTACTTCCAGTTTATGCATGTTCCTCTCTCTGCTCTCTGAGGGAGGAGGTTATCAGAAAGTTACTTGCCCATAGTGCCTTCATAAGCACGATTCTGGACTTGTGCCAGAACTGGTTCATGTGTCACGCACGTACGCACCAATGACCAGGCCACTCCTTCAGCTGCATGCAGAAAGATCGATATGACCGGATAATGTTGAAAAAGTATACGGAAAACTTGCAACATGAAAGTTGTAAATGGATTACATGCCATGTTTTTAGTACGTTTTGGATATTTTGAATTAAATGGCATTAAAATGTTGTTTGAAACTGGAAGTACCTGGAGCTTCAGACCTTGTATGATCTATACGTTCAGGCAAGGAATGTGGGATATTTTGGGCCAATATCGTCCTTTTCCAGGTTGACATCTCTCTTCTAGTAGAGGACACTTGTCCATCGTAAATTGCGCAAGTGAAAGAGGCAGGCCCTCCTCTGGAATGGATGCCAGCTTTGGGCAAGCAAAGAGCTTCAGAGTCTGAAGAGAGGTGAGGAAGTGAATGCTCTTGCTGAATTTCTTCAGATTTGGGAAGCCAGAAATTGTCAGCTCAGTGAGAGATTTGGGGAGCAGCATCTCCATCTCCTCCTTCCCGTGGGGTGGAAACGACACCACGTCTGGATCTTCACTTAGGATCAACAACTTTTTGAGAGAGGTGAGTTTGTGCAATTCCTACTCCTAGAGCTTCTTACAACTCTTGACTTCATAAACTTGAAGTGAAGTCAGGTTGGGGGGAAAGGAAGTCAAACCAACCTTCCAAGAAGTCGATCTCCAATTCCTGAAGAGAGGCGAGATTGTGAATGTCTTCCGGTAACACCACCAATTTTTCGTAGCCGGTGATTCTGATCTCTTTAAGATTGGAGGCTCTTCTCCCCCAACTCAGTCTCGGGATGGAAACAAGACTTGCACAGTTGGAAACCATAAAAGCTTGAAGATTGGAGAGGTGGCATAGGCCCTCCGGCAAGGATTTCAGATTTTGACAACTGCCAATACTAATATATTCAAGAGAATTATTAGTATTGTCGTGGAAGAACCCGTCTGGTGCTATTAACTCCAGCTGCTCACAGGTGAATACCTCAAGGTGTTTAAGCGCCTTGTAAAGCTGGCCTCTCAACGATAACGATGTCAGAGATGGACAAACAGATATCTCCAAGTGCTCAGAGAAAAAGAAGACGAAGAAGAACCAACAAGCTCCTTCTCCTCCTCCACTAATGATTTCGAACTTCTACACCACGATATATGTATTCTTTTCAGATTTCGGGGAATTTGATATTTTGAAATATACATCAGAGAGTCGCATTCTGTAATCTTCAAGACTGTAAGAGAAGGTGGCAGGCCAACATCTGGAAAAGAAACTAGATGTGAACAATGCCGTATGTGAAGCTCCTGAAGAGATGACAATTGAAGCAGCCCCTTCGACAGTTGAGAAATCAGGTGAGGGAAACATCTATCCTCATTTTTCAATGAAGCCGTCAGCTGCTCACAACTGAGAATCGTCAACTCCTTAATCTTGCCTAATCCTTTTGTAAATCCCCCTGCTTGCAACCGCAGCTCCAAAATATTTGAGAGGCACAAGGTCTCTAATAACTTCAAGTCAACCACAGTCGTTGAATGTACCAGCGCTTTGCAACCGTAGATCTTTAATTCTCTCACTTGTTCATAGTTGGCAATTGCAACCACCAATTCCTCGCATCTAACAATCTCAAGTGTCGTTAACGAATTAAGTTTCTTCGGCAACTCACCCCCCAGTTTAGGGCACATTTGGATTGAAAGAAATTTTAGGCTAGGGAAAACACCGCTACTCATATCCTGATCGAAAGGCAGCCATTTCTCCCAGTGCTTCATATCCGAACACTTGAGAATCTCTAATACTCGAAAGGGAAAGCTACCCTCTCCATAGAATTCGGGACCAACAACTTCCACTGCAAACATTCCCGTGATATAAAGTTCTTTAAGGCAAGGCAACTGTCCAACTGGTGGCAAGAGATGATAATTAGAACAATTGTATAAGCTCACACGCACCATGTTAGAGAACAGAGGATCTCCAATCCACAAAGAAAATTTCAATCCAGCATAACACTTGATGGTGAGCTCTTTGAGAATTTTAGGAGGTTGTAACATGCCAAGCACGCCCAACTCCATTTCTCTCAATCCGCTCAAATAAGACCATTTCAGCTCCAATGAATCAAGCCTTTCCTTGCCTATTAAATTGGCCCCGCTAGCATCCTCACCATCCTTCACGTTCTCCAATCTTGAGAGGCACAATGTCCATCGAAGATGCAGTAAGGACCCTATCTCTCTTATCCCAGACTGATCACTACCTTTACCCACCACAAAATACGGCAAGGATTGCAAATTTGCCAGTCGACCTAAATGTGGAGGCATTCCTTCCAACAAACATATTTTGGAAATGTGGAGATGTGGCAGACTAATTAGATTACTCATGTCTACAGGTAATACCTTCAAATTATAACAATTTTCTAACAACAATGTCTGCAAATTGCAAAGAGTTGTTATTGATGTAGGCAAACTCTTTATTTATGTGTAAGAAAGGTCAAGATACTGTAGATTCCACAATTTACCAATAGAATTGGGCAGCTCAGTTATTCCATAGCCATTCAGTGAAAGCACTTGTAAGATTCGCAATTTTGGCAATAGGTCAAATGTAACCGTATGAGTTAGATTGTTTCCACAAGATTGTGAAAACGGTAGGAATGTCCTCAAATGTTTAACTCTGGAGATGGCCTCAAATTTTTTAACACCATCATACACACCACTGACATAAGACATATGACGAGCCATCAGAACTAGTTTAAGTTGTAAGTCATCATTTCCCTTATCCTCCAGTGAGAAGCATATTTCAGCTGCAGCCCACCGTGCCAACTCACCAACAAGGTCATGCATTACATATTTGTCATTGCCTTTGCTTGCCTTTTGAAATAACGACCTAGACAATAGCTCTTGAAAATAATCACTGCATGTATCTTCAAATTGTTTCTTGTCCTCTGGTTGTTGTTGAACCAAACCCTCTGCAACCCATAGAAGGATCAACTGCTTCTCCCCAAATTCATAGTCATTCGGAAGTAGGGAACAATAGGCAAAGCATCGTTTCAAACTCGAAGGGAGATAGTGATAGCTCAATTTTAATACTGGGAGAATGCCACTATTATCTGGTAGACTCCACATCTTCTTGTTTAAGATTTCCTCCCATTCTTCTACTTGTTTACAGCGTAGAAGACCACCAAGAGTCCTTCCAGCCAAGGACAATCCGCTGCATTTTGCAACAATTTTCTTCTTAACCAACCCAAAATTTTGCGGCCTATTGTTGGTAATGTCCAAGAGGGAATAATGCTCAAAGACTTTCCAACATTGATCATCTGATATGCAATCCAATTGATAGACAGTGGAACCCATCATCTTTGCAACATTTGCATCGCGTGTTGTCACAACTATCTTACTTCCTAATGCTCCAACATGAAAAGGAGACTGTAATTTTGTCCACAAATCATACACATGTATTCCAAACATCGTCTAGAACAATTAGAAACTTTTTGCCGCTTAATTCCTTACTCACACTTTCTCGAACCTTGTTGAATTCCTTGAATTCGGCCATCGGACCAGATGTGGCAGATTCAAGAATTGCCTTTGTCACTCTTTCAAGATTGAAGTCATCCGACACAGATACCCATACTTTTGGGTTAAAATCTTTCATTGCATCATCACAAAAAACATGTCTTGCAAGTGTTGTCTTTCCCACCCCAGGCATACCAACTACATGAAAGTTAACGATAGGAGGTGCTTCTTTCAACAGCAAGTCAGTAATCTTCCTCTTGTGTTCCAATCACTGGTCCTTCTAGTAGATAGGAACTTGGTGGCATATGCCAGCAAAGCAGTGAAATTGTGGTTAGATGGTCTCAGATACTTGGCTTATGATGTGGAAGACATATTGGACAAGTTTTCAACTCAAATGTTGCGATGCCAAATAAAGGAGAAACATTGGGCTACCACTAGCAAGGTATGGTGGTTGTTTTCTGATGTCAAATTTAATTGTAACATGAACTCGTAAATAAAGAAGATTACTGGTCGAATACATGAGATATCAGAACGGAAAAACCAACTTGGTTTAAATGTGGTGACATCGTCTACTAAGGCATGGCATATGCCACCAAGTTCCTATCTACCAGAAGGACCAGTGATTGGAAGGGATGCATACAAGAGGAAGATTACTGACTTGCAAGATATGGCATATGCCACCAAGTCTCCTTTTCGTGTTGGAGCATTAGGAAGTAAGATAGTTGTGACAACACGCAATGCAAGTCAGTAATCTTCCTCTTGTCTGCATCCCTTCCAATCACTGGTCCTTCTGGTAGATAGGAACTTGGTGGCATATGTCATGCCTTAGTAGACGATATCACCACATTTAAACCAAGTTGGTTTTTCCGTTCTGATATCTCATGTATTCGACCAGTAATCTTCTTTATTTCCGAGTTCATGTTACAATTAAATTTGACATCAGAAAACAACCATCATACCTTGCTAGTGGTAGCCCAATGTTTCTCCTTTATTTGGCATCGCAACATTTGAGTTGAAAACTTGTCCAATATGTCTTCCACATCATAAGCCAAGTATCTGAGACCATCTAACCACAATTTCACTACTTTGCTGGTCAATTGCTTATACTCCGCGTTGTTAAGCACAACTCGAATATCCGACAACATCGAATTCCATTTCCTTTGCCAACTCCTAAAGTAGCTCAGTGTCTCACGTGATGTCAACCTTTCAAGTAGCACTTTTAAGGAATCCAGAAATAAAGACCTCTCCGAGTGACATAGCTTCTGAAAACAACTTCTTCAAAAGAGTCTATGTTAACAACTTCTTCAGGAGAAATTAAGGTATCGAGATCGAAAGAGTGAAGTGAAGCAACCAATCCAAGAACAAGTAAGCAAATGCTATGGTTAAGCTTGAGCAATGACAACTGTTGAACTGGAAAAAGTGAAACCTGCTAAAGGTAAGAAAAATGAATAAGCCTAGTGACATGCAGGACAGAGACCTAATACTGTTAAAAAGACCGGGAAAAGTCCGGAAAGAAATCTTGTTGCAGCCATAAATCATTTAAAGAGTTCAAAGATAAGCAAGCTTGCTTAGAAGATAATTATTTTTAAACCCAGAGAATAGCATATGCAGCAAGCTAGTACTGATGAAATACTCAAAAAGGCAAAACTCATTTTCATTTCTTCCCAAAATTAAACATAAAAATGTAAAAATTGATCTGCTTCGAACTCAGAAATTCCGAAAGAATGGAACTATGGTAACAAAATTAAATTATCAATGATAAATTGATTTAAGCCAATTCTAGTTTGGAAGTCAAGACTCTAATCACAAATACAGTATCAGCCATGACTGGAACCAAATTGGAAGTTAAGACTCAAATCACATCTGAACTAAGTTGTTTAATGTGAATTTTATTGAAGTTCATAAACCCAAAACCCAAAAAACTAATTCTCAATTGATCAATAATATTGACAATATATCCAACATTTCAGAAGGGTCATTAATAAACATCTACTAATCCGTAGTTACATGTAGTTTGGTAACTGGAAGCATGAGGCTTAACAAATTTGTAGATGTTTAGTAATGACCCTTCTGAAGCTCTTTATCAAAACAACCAGAACCTACTTCAAAATTATAAAATAGTTCACTTATTCTTTCTACTTGTGTAATTATTAGAACTTAGAAGGGTAATTTTGTCAGCAGGGTGATTTCACTTATTTACCAGAAACCAGTAGATTTGGGATGGGTTGGAAGGGTAATTATTAGAAGTTAGAAGGGTAGTTTTGTGCGTACAGTTCGCTGCCTACGACTTCTTCTTTCTCTCTCTTCATTTCTCTCAACCTCTAGCCCCAGCGCCATTCTTCTTCATCTTTTCTAAAAGAAAACCTAGCTACTCAATTTCTCTCAACCCTAGCCGTCCCTCGTCCAATTTCTCTCAACCACGGCCTCCATTTTAGGGTTGAGAGGGAGAGACTTGTCGAGATTTCGGGGAGAGGATTTTCGGGAGGGACGTGCGGGTGGGTGTCCTGTGGCCGAAGCATCGGTCAGAGGGTTGTTGGGGGGAGGGGAGGAGGGGGACAGAGGGACTGACGGATTGGAGAGAGATGGGAGCTATGGGTTTGGACTGAGTGAGAGAGAGAGATTTAGGTAGGTTAGGGCCTATGCGATTTTCTTCGATTTTAGAGAGAGAGATGGACAGGGAGATAGAGATAGGGAGGGAGAGGAGAAAGCATGGCTGTGTGCATTTTTTGGGATTAATTAATGGGTTAGTACACAGGGTCGGTGAGGAGAGAATGACAGAGGGATGTATGGGAGGGTATGGGTTTTCAGTTTTTTCCTCTGATTCAACAGGTAATGCGTTTTATTCCTACTTGTAAGAATCAAACTAAAAAATTTTGACCTGCTGAACAAGGGTTTATCATCACAATTTCCTCACACGCACAAAGCGTTATCTGCTTCTTTTAATCTTTCATTCTTTTAATTTTAATTTTGAAAGGGCAGAATGTGTTAGGAAACAAGAGACTATCTGTATTATCGTACTATGTAATTAAGTAGATTGTTACCTTAATGTGTGGTCCAAATTTATGGTATAACAAAATAAGAATATCATACAAATTAAAGTACATTTTTGCTCGCCACCATCTCATTGATTACCCCACTTTAAAGGTAAAGCTTATGATCAATCAAAGAAATCGAAGGACAAAGCGTCTTTTTTGTTTAGTGTCTTGACTTATTGACTAATTTCAACTTTATGAAACTGCACAAATAAAAGAAAAATGCTAAGGAAACCACATTTTACCGTTTTATAAAAGGGATCTTTAACGAAAAGCACCCGGTACTGTTCACTTTAACGAAAAACCATATTTTTACCCTAAAAAGTCAATCCTGGTACTATTCACTTTACCCTTTATTTTGTCCTTATCATTAAAACTTAAAGTTTTCAAGCCCTTTTCATTAATTTTCTTTTTATAAAATCCCGACACTAGTCCAAAAATATTCTCCTGTCAAAATAACAAAGAAATACTCTTGCATATAAATATTACACCCAGGGAGTACATTCAATGTGACATATAAGCTTGCTTTATTTTTAATATTGTAAGATTAGCTACATCGTTTAATTCTTATTCAAGGACGATTACACAATAACAACAAAATCTTATCCCATTAAGTGAGGTCCACTGATTCAAGGACAATTATATTTATAGCTACAAATAAATAATTCCAGTTTCGGCCTGTTCTTGAAAACAACCTATCTGCTCTGTGTACCTTGCGTGGTCCACCATCATATCACATACAGGCTACGGCAGTGCTCGAATATACAACAAGAACGAAAAAGTCTTATCCCACCAAGTGGGGTCCGCAGTGTCTAAGTATAAACCAGCTTATTTTTCACCACATAAGCTTGATTCTGGACTTGTACCGGAACTGCTTCTTTGTCACGCACCAAGGGCCAGGGAAGGTGCTCAGCTGCATTATTACCAGGTAAATTATAGCAAATAAAATGTGAGACTCTGCCGTAAAACTTACTCCACAAGTCACTTGAAGAAAGCCAGATATGTGATATTGTTCTGAAACTGAAAATGTATGGATGACTTGCAATATGAAAGTGGTAAAGAGATTATATGATCATAGTTGACGAAATCTATATGTTCTTCAAAGACGGGGTTTTTGAAAGATGTTTTGCAATGTCGATATATGAAATGTCGTATGTTTGAGTCGTAAATCCAAACACTTCGATACAGATAGCGACAGAGCTTACATTGCTGATGATCTTAGCCCCAAACCATGCTGTATCTGCACCATATGGAGGGGGAATGACTGTGATTCCATCAGACAGATATGGAGGGAGAACTCCGTGTAATTCCTTCTCTAACCTTCCTGAATATAAAAATATCAAAAGATAAAAGATAAGAGTTTGTTAGTAAGATTTCAAATTCATATTCCATTATAAAAAAAAAAGACACGGAAAAGTTTCTCGTATTTGAATGATGCCTGCGAGTCCTGGTAAACATGCAGTGCCTCCTGACAAAACTACTGTCTTGAACCAAGCATTGTCTCCTGTTAGTTCTGCCGAATGGCAATGTTCCATACAAAGAGCAACAGCCTGATGCAAGCTCATGGTATCCCTATACAAAATATGATACTATTAAGTTTCAAATAAAATTTCCCCTTGAAGTTCTAAGCTACTGGTGAAATCAGGACATAAAAGATTATCAACGATTTTAAACGACATGCTCGAGATCAGACACCAATCATAGGCGCTAATTTGATGCATACAACACAGAGTTGATACTTGCTTATGAAATGGGTGCTAGAGAATTTACTGGTTCTCAAAATGGGGAAAGGGAGATGAGGAGAGAAAAACAGAGAGCAATAAATCTAAAACTTTCCAGTGGTACTTACAGTCCTGCAAGCTGTGGCTGGAATAAGATCTCTCCTGTTTGAAACTGCTCCTTTGAAACAGTAAAACATTCTTCTCCACCAGATACAAATGAAGCTTGTGTATTTTTAGATAGCTCAGCTTCATAATCCTCAGCAACGTAACATAGTTTCTGAATAAAGTCAACCAATGAGACATGAAATTGAAAATTCTTTCTTCCATGATTTACCATACTAACGAATACACTTTGTTTCTAAGCTTCCACAATTCAATATTTCAACCAGTAAACCATGGGGCAAACTGAACTTCTTGCCCCATGGTGTTGAGCTCACTTGGTAACTTCCTATTTATCATTCGACCAATAAACTTCCATATACGACTATGACATGAGAAGAAAGAACAAAAACTAGAACTGGAAACCATCCCCTTATAAAGAATTGTGGCATGCTACTGGTTAATGTGCATTAACACTGATGGACAGTATTCTATACCGATAAAAATGGGTTTTTGTCACAAATGGTTCTTGAAATTGACCCACCCTATCAAGGTGGTCCCTGAAATTGAAAATCAATCAATGTAGTCCCTGAAAATGAGTGTCGCAAATCAATGTGGTCCTTCTGTCACAATTCCGTTAAAAATTATGTTTTGTGCTGACGTGGCACTTAAATGGGTCCCACAAATTTAATAAAATAATTTTTTGTGAATTAAAAATATTTAAATATAAAAAATAAAATAAATATATTTAAATAATAACAAAAGAAGAAGATGATTGAACACTGTTCATCATCTTCTTCCCGTGAGAATAATTTTTTTTTAAGTTTTTATGTTTTAAATTCTTGACATTTCTTGTTCTTAATTTCTTGAAATTTCCTCGTTTTTAGCTTGATTTAGTGTTTTTTCATCTTGGTTCTTGAAATTTTCTGAGATTATTGGTTCCGGAAGATTTTTGAGTTAGATATTTTGTGAAGAAAATGGAGTTTCGTTGAAGAAAATGGGTTAGATTTCTAGGTTCTTGAAAATTTCCTGAGATTCTTGAACTTTATCCATGGGATTGTTCCGGTACCCGTTTCTACGACGGCGAAACTGGCTAGGAGGCCGTCTAAGGTTCGCCACACGAAGGTGGAGGAACAGGGTGGGAAAATCCAATGGCCACCATGTGTGCGGCCAGGATCTTTCAAATAACCCGGTAACCCGGCCACAATTCCGACGACGGCACTCCACCCAGAGAGTGGGAGGGGTGGTGTGGGATGGGGACTGTAGTGGGAGGTTGGGATGGGAAGAAGATGATGAACAGTGTTCAATCATCTCCTTTTTCATATTTTTTATGTTTCAAGTTTTTAATTATAAAAACTAAAAATTGTTTTTTAATATTTAAATCTTTTTAATTCACAAAATAATATTTTAATAAATTTGTGGGACCTATTTAAGTGCCACGTCAGCACTTAATATAATTTTTAACGAAATTGTGACGGAATGACCACATTGATTTGCAACACTCATTTTCAGGAACTTCATTGATTGATTTTCATTTTCAAGGACCACCTTGATGGGCTGGGTTAATTTCAGGAATCATTTGTGACAAAAATCCGATAAAAACTCAATGACCACAACCTGCACCATGAAAGGATAACAGCTATACCTCTTTCACAGTCTGAACAGTGTACAGTGAGTCAAAATTGATATTGTTCCTGTGCAATAGCTCCCTAAGGAACCCTGTAAGCTTCAGTGCTCCCAATCCCATAACCTCCACACCCACCTTGCGCATTACTTTACCATTTAGAACTGTAAACACAATAGCATCGCTTTAAGTACAAAATTTCAAGAGTCCCAAGCAACAAAAAGTGTAAAAAAAAAAAACAGCATCACCACAAACAAAGAAAGAAAAATATTTATTGGAACTGAAAAGTACTGTGGAAGATTCTTAACAAAAAATAGTGGAAGAATTTTTGCAAAGAATATCTAAAGGAGTAAAAGTAAAAAAAGCCACACAATGCCAGATTGCCAGCTAAAAAATGAGATGTAAACCAACATTTGAGTAACTGTGAAGAAAAAATATTTACAACACAATTGTAAAGTGTGTTGTAAATGAGAAACTATGCACAGTCCCTACGAAAGCATCAAGTGTGACCACAAATCCTTTTTTCAGCAGTTAATAATTCTGAAATCATGAGGAAGATGGAACGTAGGATAGCTTACTTGGAACAATAGAAGTGACTTGGAAACCGATGTTTACAACAATCCCTGAAGTTTTTCTTGCTGCATACAAAGCTAAAGTTGCCTACAGTTTCAAAAGTAGACAATGAATACTGGACCGAGACTCAAACAAACCATTTATACACTGAGAGATGCAGTTCCAGATGACGTGACAACTTTGCATGATTGCAACGCATTAGGTCCCTTCTTCCATATGGTTTATGGACAGCATATATATTATTATGGAGGGGAAGGAGAACAGTTTACCTGATTAATGGCACAGACAGCAGGGACATTCATGTCAAAAAGTACCCTGTACATAGCTTCTTTGAGCTGCCGTCTCGATGCTTTGGCAGATTCAGTATCTAGAACAAAAATAAGGAAAAAATAGCACATTAGGAGGATGAAGACACTACCTTGTGAAGGATAACAAGACAAAGACAATTGATGTAACCAATCCAAGTTATAACTCTAGGGTAGCAACTCACCATCATAATGGCAAATAGGTATAGACAAAACCACGGGCTGCGAAGATGGTTTCACCTGCATCCTAAGAAGAAACACAATCACATATCAGCTATACCTGCTATCTAAGATTCAAAGGCATCGATGTAAACCTGTGTTCCACATGATAATGAAGGCAGTGCAGTTTCTTCTTTACTTTTAAAATGAAATTTTAGCAGAAAAGTATCTTAAATGTGCTAACTTGTATTTAAGTCACTGAAATGCAGATTGAATAAAGAAATATATGTAATTAACTAAGAGAAAGAGGATTGCATCAAGAAGAACAGCCACAAGCTTCTTTAACTATGAAGTTGCTTGACTAATACATCAAAATAATGAAAACTAAAATGATAGAATAGCACACCTGCTATAAATAGTCACAAAAAAATGGTGGAGTCTAGAGTACATCGGCGACTCAACATTACCAAATTCCTGCAAGCATGGCAAGAAAAACCCAAAGTATGGAATTAAAAGTGAAAGATAGATTGAAACAATCTAACAATCATGTGGAATGGAAGTTATATGCAAAAGAACTTCTTGACTGTGAGCTCAAATAAACATCTCACCAAAAAAGTTGCTGACCGGCCCGATGGACATGCGTATTTGCTCCAGCCAAACTTGCAATAGCCAGACCCCCCTTCCCAACAAATGTAAAGAGAAAATGAGGGAATAGTTTATGTCGAACTAGATAAAGTCCAAAGTTTGCTAACAAAAACAAAATCATAACCCTACGTATATCACTATGGATGGTAGATAATAGTGATATCAAAACATTGAATAGCTATTGTTTACAAGCTTCTCAACAAAATACCACAGAAATGAAGATATGCTTTCAATATTTGGATTAACAAGTGAAAAATTATGCCAGCATTCTCTAACATAATAAATTGTTAATGTGTGTGGAGGTTAGAGACACTCACCGTCAATGATAGCAGAACCAGGAACTTGAACTCGTTGACTATAAATACCCATATAGGACAATTGGGGACTCTCGCCCGAGAATGTTCTACAATAAAAATTACGTTTGAATTAGCTCGACCATTAAACTCAATGACAAGCACTGAGCAGCATATACATTATTTCGGCATTAAAGAACAAATTCAGTGGACAAGTCCATGGTTTCCTCACCAAAACAATGGTGTAACGTTTTCTCCAAGATACTAACACTCGACTATCACAACGAACAAGTACAACCAATTAAAATCCCTTTCACAATTCTGACATTCTTTATGTTCGACCACTTAAAAATCACACCTTGACACAGCTTTGCCAAAAATGAAAAATCTCTGTCAGTGAAAAATTCCAACCTTTACTGGCACTAATAATAATTTAAACTAAAAAAATCATTTGATCGATAAATATAGACTTTAGAACTTATGAACTGAGCTGCTACCAAGTCTTGAACTTTCCCGGCAAAAAAAAAAAAGAAATTTCTCAGTAAACTCTCAATCATTTAACATTACTTTGAATTCAAAATTATTTATATTTAAATGCACAACAAAGACGTCAAAATTGAATCCCAAAGTGGGATTTTTCAGCTGAGCAGATTAAATAAATAAAAATTGAGAAGTGGGAAATGCTTGATATTGAACATACTGAAGTGGGTATCCGAATCTCAAATGGGTTTCCGAGAAAACAAAGGATTCCCAATAAGTCTCCTCCTCCTGCTTCTGCAGAAAGAAAATCCACAGCTCGTTCTCGGAGACGACGCACCGCCACGCTCTGCATACGACGCTCAACTTCGCCGCTTCCTTAGGCCCCACTAGTCTCACGATTTTCATCATTAGGTCCGTCGGCAGCCGATTGAACGTCCCGGAACCTGCCGTCGCCGACGGCGAGCTCGAAGAAGACGACGACGACGTTGACTCTGAACTTGAAAACGTGCGGCTCGACACCAACTCCCACGCTTTTCTGATCAACGTCGTCATGGTTTTCTTCGGGCCACGACGATTAGCTTTTTTTCTTTTCAATTTTTGCTGCGTAGAATTTTCTCGAGAAAGTTGGGCGAGAAAGTTATAGTTTCCATGGAAACAAACGGAAGCTGGTAGTTGTCTTGGTATGTTTGTGCCGTAGCGGATGGTTTTTCCGAAAACTGAGAAGGCAGAAATTGATGACGTGGGATCTGCGTGTGTCGACTTTCACTGCCGCAACGGATGATTTGTGACCGTATGATATACGATGTACTGTTACGATTACAAAATCTATACGATCCCTAAGAAAACTTTTCCCCACCAACCAACGGCCAAGTCCGAACCCCAATTTTAATTTTTTTTAGGGTAAATTACATTTTCATACCTCAGATTTGGGGTCTATTTCAATTCCTTACAACATCTTTAAAACATTTCACTTTCATACCTTAAGTACTATTTTATTTCAAAATAATACATCCGTTACATTTTCCATCCATTGATCTGTTAAATGCTGACGTGGTTGCCACATATATGACACGTGGCTGCCAAATGTCTACCACGTGGTAAATAAAATAATTTTTTAATTTTTTAAAAAACCTGAATTTTCTCAACAAAAAAAAACAAATTTGAAACCCACATTTGCAAGAAGAAGAAGAGGAGGGAGGAAGAAAGAAAAAGAAAAAAAAAAATAGAAACCCACTGCAAGAAGAGGAAGAAGAGAAAGAAGAAGAAGAGGAAGAAGAGATTGGGGTGGGGGGAGGGTCACCGGGCGGGGGGGGGGAGACGGGAGGAGGGTTGTCGGAGGAAGAAAAAAATAAAATAAAATAAATAGAAACCCAGATCTGCAAGAATAAAAAGAAGAGGGAGGAAGGGAGCTGGGTCGGGGTGGGGGGAGGGTCGTCGGAGGAAGAAAAAAAAATTAAAAAATTAAAAAAAAAACCTAGATCTGCAAGAAGAAGAAGAAGAAGAAGAAGAAGAAGAAAAGGGAGGAAGGGAGCTGGGTCGGGGTGGGGGGAAGGTCGCTGGGCGCGGGGGGGTTCTTCTTCTTCTTCTGGTCGCTGGGGGAGGGACAAATTTTTTTTTTCTTTTCCTCTTTCTGATCGCTGGTTGCAGATGTGGGTTTCATTTTTTTTTTTTTTTTTTTTTTTGGTTGAGAAATTTTAGGTTTTTTTTTTTTAAATTTAAAAAAAAAAAATTTTGCCACGTGGCAGATATTTGATAGCCACGTGGCACAAATGTGGCAGCTACGTCAGCATTTAACGGATTAATGGATGGAAAATCTAACGGATGTATTATATTGAAATAAAATAGTACTTGAGGTATGAAAGTGAAATGTTTTAAAGTTGTTGTATGGGGTTGTAATAAACCTCAAAACCTGAGGAGCTACTGTGTAATTTACCCTTTTTTTTAACAAACCATAATATCTCAACTAGAGGAGGAATCTTCAAATCCCTTCCACTAAACTCACTCAATTAATGAATTTGAGTCCTTAAAATTTGATCTAACGTCTAAAGTTATAATATGGTTCAAATTCATTTTTATCGAGAATCGAACCTAAAATCTCTCACTTACAAGTAAAGAGAAATACCACTAAGAATAGTACTAAATGACCGAACCCCAATTTTTATGGAGCTCTTTTTTGGAAAATGTTTGAATTTACAAAATGAAAAATACTTGGATACCCCCTAGTGAGTACCCAATATACTAAGCCGTAAGTAAACATAACTAAACAGCTTTATTACTCTAAGCCAAACATGAATTATTCTACTAACCAAACATGACTCTTCTCTCTTTACCAAAAAAATTACCCAGCCATCCATCTCTCTCCTTCTCCATCCATCGTCCTCTACCTATGGTTCTATAAAACATTAGGTGCTAATTTGAGAGGCGAGCTGATGTTTAGTGCTTAGATAGACCCATAGGTGGACTAGACGAATTTATATTTTTTTGAATAAATTTATTATAAAATATATAAATAAGTGCATGTTTACACACAAAAATCATACATGTTGATAAAAATAAAATACAATACATACAAAATAAATATTTATTATAATATATCAGTATTGTATAAAGCTTAAGAGTTTTTTTCGATCATAACTTTCAAATTATTATTGGACCATATTTTCTTTAAAAAAATTGAAGATGGGCCTGCTAAAAATCTTCAAAAAATTGTCACAAACTATTAATTAAAAACACTTTATTAACCCAAGTAAAGTTAGCCGCACCCACCCACTTTTCTCTTCAAGTTCAATCTCATCCGCCGTTTCTCTCCTTCCCCCTTCATCCCTTCATAGCAGACTGTACTATCTCTCCATCCCTTCATCTTTCTCTCTCTCTCTCTCTCTCTCTCTCTCTCTCTCTCTCTCTCTCTCTCTCTCTCACTCAGATTTCATCAGGAAATTTGAGGTCGTGACTCGGTGCAACCAAAGGTGGAAGGCGGTCGGAGAACGGCGGCTACGAGAGAAGGCTAGAAAAAAAGGACCACCTAGCACTGTCGCCTTGACACCGCCTAGGCCGTCTGGGAGCGCCTAGAAGTGCCTAGGCATGTAACATGTCCCGATCTCGATATTCCCCGAATGCCAGGATAAGCACATGTTGGCCGACACCCGAGGGTGACGAAAACCATTTATTGAGTGCAAAAGCTGAAAACAAGGGATATATAAGACTTATAAATATAAAAGAATAATGAATATGCATATAAGGAACGTGTTCAGAGTATACAACTAACTAAAACACTAAAAGAAATAATATAAAATTGAATGAAACAAAGGATGGATACTACACCAAGAGAACTCGAAGATACCGATACGAAAGTGCCTGGATGGCGGATTGTATGCCTCGATTCTAAGTCCTAAAGGGGGCGCAAAACAAACATGAGTGGACCAAGTTGATATATATAGGGATGTGATCACACACCATTTTTTGCTTTCCTCACACACCCTTCTAATTTTCGGTCATTGGATCGAGTGAATTGAAGAAGATCAGAGGGCAGAAATTAACAAGGGGTATGTGAGAAGTAAAAAGGGGTGTGTGGATAGCACACCCCTATATATATATATATATATATATATATATATATATATATATATATATATATATATATATTAAAACAGTTATCAACATACTAATCCCTATGTTTTATAAAAACACATATATATCATGATAAACATAGGGTTTTCGAAACCTAGTATGTCGTGCAATGTCTCAAATCATAACTTGTATATATAATAATCACTAGTGAATGTTTGATAACCCCCAGGCCCCATGCCGGCTCCCCATCTCTGAGCAAACAGTCAAAGGAAAATTACCCCCAAGCCCCATGCCGACTCCCCGTCCCTATGCTAATAGCCAAAGGAAAAACATTTCAGACCCTATGTAAACACCATAACCGTCGCCCGGGACGGACCAGAATCTATCCCTTCGTCTTGTAGCGGAATAAGGACCACTAGGTAAGTACAAAACCCTTGAATATATATATATATATATATATATATATATATATATTTGAAAAGCAACTTCATAGTATAAAATCATTCATCATCTATACTATAAAGAGGTGTTTAAAACATGTTCTAAATATCATATCGTCATCCATCAGATATTCTATAAGAACATGGATTATAGGAAAAATAGTAATAATTCAAAATAGCCTCAGTAAGCATGTTATTTCACAAAACATTTTCTACTATTAAAACATGCATTTTTAGAAGGGGTCCACTTACAAATATTTAGCCACCGAAGAACCACGCAAACTAGCGAACACGGAAACGCCACAATAATTGCCCCTAAGCACATAAATGGTCCAATTAATATAAATATACTCAAACGATTAAATTTGGGGAAACGAACTTCAAAAACGGGTCAATGACGTCGAAATTAGCCTAGGATAGGTTCCGAATGAAAGCCGGAAAAAGTCAATGTTGATCGTTGACCGGTCAAAGTCAACGATGACCGTTGACCGTTGACCGATCAAGTCAACCGTCAGACTGGGTCAAATTCGGGCCTAAAGGGTTTGAGTCGAATAGGTTTAGGGTCTAAAGGGTATTGGGCTTGAAAGCTTGGTCCAATAAAAGGGTTTTGGGTTTGAAAATAAAAATAAACAAAAAATAAATAAAAGGAAACTGGGTTTGGGCTTAGTGGTTCAGCCCAAAGCCCCAGGTTTGGATTTTAGACTTGGGCTTGGGTAATTGGGTTACACCTTGGGTTAATGGGTCGAGTTGACCCATTTTCAGGCCAAGGTTTTGGCCGGTTTTTGGGCAACTTCAAACGCCTATAACTTCTTCGTTACTCAACCAAATCAAGTGATCCAAACATGAAAGTTATAGTACTCGACGAGATGAAGAGATTGATACCCTGCACGATGGCCAACTCGCTGTGGTTTTGGCTGGAAAACTCCTTGAAAGGGCAGTGCTTGTCGGAAAACCGGGTTTTTTGGCTGAAGGTTTAGGGAATTTTCAAAGCTTCGTAACTTCTTCGTTACTTAACCAAATTGAGTGATTCAAAAGCCAAAATGTATTTAGGAATGTGAAGAAGAGATTCATACCAAGTGGGGACCGAGTGGTGGCTGGAATTAGCCGAAAAATGGCATGAAAGATGGCCAAACGACCATGGTTTCCTCGCCAGAATCTAGGTTTATGATCCGAGTTCGTTTTTTGCATATAAACATGCCAAACCACTTCAACAACCACCTAAGTTTACATCTAAACATCAATTACGACGATTTTGGAGTGGTTAAATGACTTACCTATGTCGGAGGAAGTAAGAACTCGCCGAAGTTCTCTATTTCCAGTTTTCCTCCGATTTGAACGTGGGTCCAAGGATTGTTCGATGAGTTTAGGATCGGGGAGGAAGACAAGACGATGTGAGGATGATGGTTGCTCTGTGTATGTGTTTCCAAAGAAAAGAGGAAGAGCTGAAATGTCACATCCCCGCCCTGGCCCCCACCACATCCAGGGCTCGACTCTACCATAGCACGATATTGTCCGTTTTGGGCCCCGAACAATGCCCTCACGGTTTTGTTTATGGGAACTCACATGAGAACTTCTCATTGGGTCACCCATCTTGGGATTGCTTTTGCATGAACTTGCTTAACTTCAGAGTTCTGATGGAACTCGAAGTCAGTGAGCTCCCAAAAGACCTTGTGCTAAGTAGAGATGAGAATATATATATGGCTTACAGGATCCTCACCCCTAGGCGATGTGAGATTTTACAATCCACCCCCTTTAGGGGCCCAA